AAAAAACCCCCCCCCCCCCCCTTGGGTGTTATTCCAGGCAACTGAGTACTGTTTCTTTATGGGAAAATCAATAGGGCAGTTAATGTTTCCCAAGTATACAGCAATGCTGCAGTCAGCATCATGGGTTCAGGGGACAAGAATTAATGGCCATTACTGTTGTAGAGTGCTGTTTGTGCACTGGGAATTTGCTTTTGCAGCACCTGGCCTGTCACTGCTTCTTCATTGTTACTGTCTGGTTGACTGACTCTGGACACGGGCCTAATTGATCTGGCAATGTGTTATAACGCCAATTTGAAGAGGGGCTTTCTGAAGTCATGTTCTTGTCAAAAGAATATAGGCAGCATTGGTTCCTGCTTGTGTCTGAATAAATATGTGCAGTATTAAATCTCCTGAGGAAGAGCTAGTCTTATTTGTGCTGCCCGACCAGGAAGCCAGTGGCTAATGAGGCATTTCTCCTATGAGCTCAAGAACAGGAAGCGCAGCCACCCTAGAACAACATAGATCAGAGACTAAAGATTTTATCCTAACATGGATATCTTGTTAGTTTGTGGATTGACGTGTTTTACTTGTTAACTAATAGGGCTGTACAGGTTACTGCAGCAAACAATAACCTGCCAGATCAGGATACAGAGGAAAAACAAGCCTCTGACTCTGCCTCTCTATTACATCATCTTCACTGTTAGAATAGGGAAGACCCCTTAAATGAAGAGAATCTGCCCTGCTCGCTACACATGTAACTCAATCAGTCCCAACATGATCCAGTCTGCTTGTGTTTCACATGCTGTGTTCTTCATAGCAGAGCCTGCTGAAGTGTATGTAACCCAAAGTGTAGTACCTGAACATGGAGGATAGGATGACAGAGGCTTTTTTTTCTTGACTCATTATCAAGGTGCACCGTGGACTTTAAGTGTTACAAATATCTATCTAAGCTTTCTTTTGTCACTGAAACCCTGGCAGAAGAATACTAAATGGAAGACTTCACTTGTTAATTTTCAACATCCCAATCACGGCTGCTCTGTAAGGGCTAAAATTCATTATTTATTATATGATTATCGCTGAAATGTATCTTTATTAATTTCTTTATTTTTTTGTTAAATAATATTAGTGCATCATATAGGCTAATGTAGCACCAGAAATTACA